TGTTAAATACTAGTATATATAAACGCCTCTTCGCTGGTTCTTTGACAGCGAATCGGAAACGGCACCGCTCTTTCTGTTCTCCGACTCCGACGCTCCCCCCGATTAAAGGTGCGGTCTTTGACCCTTCTCTTCTCCTCAATTATCGTTTCCGATATGCTTTATTTATTTTTCTGCAGGTTCTTTTTTTTTTGTTAAATTATCTGATCATATATTCATAGATCTGTGTCCTAATTTTGAACGAATTATGCGTGGATTTCCGTTTACCTACGATCTGTAGATCGGAACCAAAATTGATGTGTGGTTGATCGATCGATCCTTTTAAATCTCTATTAATTCGCTTGTTAATTGGATTGGAATGTCATGTCAAGGGACGGATCTAGAGAGCAAGTTGATCTTGTTCTTCAGAATAGGTTGTATTTAGTTTCTTTTTTGTTTTAATCTTTGATGATTAATAACAGTCTCAATTCGAGAGATGCACCTTGATCTGTCTATCAAAGGTAGTCCTTTGGGGGTGAGGATTTGCTTTAACTTTTTTGATAAACACCTTGTCTGGGCGTTCAATTGGTTTGTGCTGGGGTTATCTGATTGATCGATTGATGTCTATTCTGGCCCCAACCACAAGTCTAGGAATCAAGTGCGGGGTAACCTTTGTGCCCTGAACAATGCAAAATAATGGTCATTTGTTCCCTCCTTATTAGTTAATTTGCAACGTTGGTTTCTTATAGTTGATTGGATACTGCTTATGAATGGGCTACTCGTTTAATGCTCGCAAAACTGGTTAAAAATTGTAGATTCATTTTGAGAAATCTAGTTTATGTATAACAAATACTTTTTTTTTAAAGATTTATAAAAGACTCAGATCAATTTGAAATATCGTATAGCTACATTATAGACATTCTTATAGAAACTCTCTAAACTCCCACTTAAGCCTCTGCCTCGCTTGTTGCACACTTTAGCCTCCATTTCAAGATTTATAATGCATTGCACGTCTCATCTTCTTTTGCTGATGTTTGTTGTAAGATTTTAGTGCAAATGTTTGTTCTTTTCTTATTATACTAGATAATGAGATTACTGTTATCCATTTATACCTAATTCAAGTAATTTTAAAAACTCTGAAAGTTATGTAGAAAAATTAGAGGCGAGGAAGATCAATAGAACCTGGCTATATATTGGTAGGTTATAGCATGTTATGATGTTAGATGCATTTATTTATTGAGATGAAGACACATGTAAGAAGGTTTCACAACTTGGAAGTATGTTAATCTTAACAGTTTAATTAATTTATCATGCATCTGTATCGCATATCTTATCAAGTGAATTTTAAATTTTAAGCCTGTATTTCCTTTTTCAACGAATTGGTTTCGACTTCGTTTGTTTGGGGTATTGGTTTATCTTCAGGTTCTGATTACTTCGTTTTCCTTTTATGTCCTTTCTTAAGCAAAACACCTTGTTTTCTATTTATTGAACATGGAGATGTAGATGGATTATCTCAAGCTGAGAATAATCTTGTGTAAAATATAAAACTGATGAATAAGAATACTTTCGAACGTTGATACTAAAAAATGGAACTGAAGTTGAAGACAGTCCGCAAGTTATGTAGTAAAGTTGGAGTTGAGGGAGAGAAACATAACTTGGATATAACTGTTGGATTATAGCAAATTATGCTGTGAGATGCATTTGTTTGGTAAACACAGATGCTAAAATTATTTGCTGATCGTCTAAGTATCACTTAATTAGTTTCAGGCTTCCAGTGTAGGAACCATATTACTGTTTTGTAGCAAATGCTATTTATTTTATCTTTTGATCAAGAGTGCACACTTTTCATGCTTTGAATGCATAGACTACTGTAGTTTTTCAACACCTTACTATGTCTCAGATTATGTGTTTCCATAGAATTAAACTAGATTTTTCGTGATAAGACGGTTTGTTTATATGTAGGTAGAGGGGTTTACTGAATGGATTCAAATTGTCCAACCTATGATTAAAAATGTTTTAGCCTTTACCTATCAATACACTTTCACGTCTTATGGAAAATTGATAGATGCATTATTTTCTTTTTGTTTTTTGTTTTTGTGCTTTATTTCTCCTCACTTGAAGAAGATTTGGCCTTTAAGATGAGGATGTTTGCAGTTGACATCTATTTTTGACCCTTATCTTATTTGCTTGCTTGCTTTGTACTAATGAATATTTTTCTTGTTTCAAAAATTACGTCGAACTAAATAACTTTTTTTTTTAAATCAACAAAAATCTACAGCAAATTTACATGTGAATCACTCCTCCACTATGCTCTGCAAAACCTTTTTATTTACTCATGTTCAATTCAACTCAATATAGGTTGTAGATACTTCCTTATCAAATAGTCCTCCAGCATGCTCTTAAATATTTTTTTGTGCTTTAAATTTGATGACCTAACCTTTTCGCAAGTAGTTAATCATTTGTCTTGCTAAATATTATCAACTATTTGCTAATACTCCTCAGAAAACACATGGTTGGCTTTTAAATCCACTCCAGTTTTTATGTCCTTGTAGTGTTTCCAATAAACTGAGTTGCTTTTATGTTTTTGATTCTTTTAGACTCTGTAAAGCAAAATGGTTGCCAATGGAGAAGCACCACCAAGGGGCAGTGCAGCAGCTGCTGCGAACTTGCTAGCACGATGCTTCAATTTTACACTGATGACACTGCAGGCCGCAAGATGTCCCCAAACACAGTCCTTATCATGAGTATCGGTTTTATTGCTGTTGTTGCCCTTTTACATGTTTTTGGTAAGCTCTATCGCCACTGAAACCGCTGAGAGAGAGTATCTGAGCAATAGAAACAGCTTCTATGGTTTAGGTGTGTAATTTTTCCAGACATTAAGTGCTCTATGAAGCTTTCACTAATAAGAATTTCCAGGCAACATCTGCTAATGCAAGAGAGAAGCTTCCTTGTTACCCTTATCTTTTTCTCTGTTTGGTATAGTTTGAAATCTAACTTGTTTTGGAAATTTGATCTGGGTTCATGTGATGTGCTCGAGATATTCGCTGTTGTTATAGTTTGAAATTTAATTTGTCAGATGATTTGATTTGGTCTGGGTTCATGCGAGAAAGCAATTACATTTACTGTCTCAGTCTAGTATCTGATCCCCTTCATCTCTGTGCACGTTGGCCGGACAGTCTGTAGCGGAAACCGGAGTGTAGTCTTTCTGATGATGTAAACAGTGCTGATAACAAGGAATTAAATACTTATGTGGCTTTTTTATCTAACTTGACCTGATCCAGCTATTCTTTATTCATGAAAAAAAAGAAAAAAAAAACTTATTATTAAATTGCGGAGCAGCCATTTCAGTTCGTGGAGTTTTCTTTGACGCGCGTGCGTGGTCTCGACAAGGGGAGGGAAATGGGCGAGATCTATGGTGACAATCCTTGCATAAAAAGTGGCCCATGTCTTGTCTAATCCCGTTCCAGACGAAATTCCTGTGTCATGATCCCCACGTACGTACATGCACGCGAGCGAGGGTCAATTCCGGCTCCTTTAGCTTTCACAACCAATTTCATGAAACTGATAAGGCTACAACTAATTATAATGTGTGCTTAATAAGAGCAACGTTATATACGCACTGCATGTCGTGTACTATAATTGGTACTGCAATCTGCTTTTTGTTCGGTCTAATCTAATCTATTAATTATTGGTGTTCCCTATTAGTAATTTCATGAAACTGATAAGGCTACAACTAATTATAATGTGTGCTTAATAAGAGCAACGTTATATACGCACTGCATGTCGTGTACTATAATTGGTACTGCAATCTGCTTTTTGTTCGGTCTAATCTAATCTATTAATTATTGGTGTTCCCTATTAGTAGCCCCGCCCTCATATCGGCGAGGGATCTACAGAGGGTTCTGGCGAGGCTGGAGCTGGAGGAAGGGGAGAGCCTGGAGAGGATGAACTCCATGGTCGTTAACGTTGATTAATTGACTCTGAAGAGAGTAAATTGAAGGGTTCTTCAAGCTTGGGAAGCAATGTAATTTTCACCAGGGAGTTTGTCCTCAGATGTGTCCTGATTGTGGAATTTTCTGAATTGGTTAATGAAGTTCTATTTGCAACATAATAAATTGGTTTTCTACTTATTAAACATAATCATTGGCATGAGTTGCTTGTTTTTGTTCTGTAATGAGGTTGTCATTTTGCTCAATACGAAAGTTCTACAATAATGATGCTTTTCTTACTTAGTTTTCATGCACATGACCTGTTTGTTGAAATGCCCAGCACATTTATCCCATTGAAATTTATGAGCTCTTGAGGTAATTAGAGTAAAACCCATATTGATTACGGTTTATAATCACAAGATGTGTTAATTTTTTTATGTACATATTAGTGATGCTTTATTGAAGGAATCAAATCGGCTTGAAGCGGCAAACTTCAACTTCTCCTCTTGAATTTCATTACACATTCTTGTTAAGTTCAGGCCATTGCAGGAAAGGAAAAGAAGGAAATTGAAAGCATATGGGTGTATTCCTACATATAAATATGATTAGATGAATAGAAGACTCTCCTGGTACTCCATATTGGAGTTGATGTGTTGGAAATCTAATCATGGTCTTTGCTTCTGATGATGCGCAGATTGAACGAACATAGGCGTGTTTTTGCAGAACATGTAAATGAAACCTGTGTACCATCTCTTGCCAAATTCTCACCTTTTTAACCTTTTTTGTATCCAACCTGTGAGCGTATACGGACAAGCATGATTTATACTCACCGGTGTGCATGAATATCAGATGCAAAGTTCGAGCTGTTGGTATGGATGCCTGTATTGAACAATATGGTTCTCTTACTTGACAACTCTTCTAATGGTATGAAGCAAAGGAAAATTTATTGACAAACTTTCACAGAAGAAACTTTAACACTTGGTTAGAACAACCAGTTGGTGCCGTAAATTTGACAAGCTGAGCTGTAACATTTCCTTGCATTTCTATTTACAAATCATAGAACAACATACTTGAATGCAACGTCGACAAAATAGGTAATAAAATATACACATATATTTCTCCATCCAATTTACATAACAAACAATATACACAATTAAAAAAATTAGAAAAATGGGAACATAAGAGCATTAGGAGTTCAGCATACTAGTTGCTAACGTCACAAGAGCATGTTTCTTTTCTTTTGCCCATACAAAAACCCAACGGAATCCAAATTATGTACATAATCTACTCCCAAAATTCAAGGTTCATAAAATCACATAAGTTACTCTCAAAATTCAGGCTCAACACAACAATAAAACTTCTAGAATTATAAATAAAATGCAAAAATAAGGAGACGTTTGCTAGCCAAGCTCCATTTCTTCTCTAATGTAGCCGATGCAATTGCTCTTCTATGCAGAAGAGCTCTAGGCGACCTTTGCATTATTGTTGCCAATCAATCCAAATTCATCTCTGCACACCAATTAATCAAAGATGAACAAATAGAAAAAGAGAGGTAGACTAAGGTGGTTCTTAAAAAAATCAATAAATTCCTTGCACTTGGAAATTTCTGTAACTTTATTTCTTCATAATGTATGTATTATTGATTGAAAATTCTTTAAAAATGCAGAACAATGAAGACCCCTAATTTACTTACACTTATACATTATGCATTGTACAGATGTTGAATAATAAAGTTTATAGATTACATTACATTGTGGTAAAATCTGACAATATTTCATATTATATATGATAAATCAGGCATAAGGAAAAATCATCTCAAGAAAATGGAACTGTTATTGAATATTAGTGACCCAATTCTTATCATTTCATAATAATTCAGAATAACAAAAAGTACTAAAATTGCAAGGAAATAAAATTGTTGAACGTACCTGATTCAAGAGAGAAGTTATCCACAAGGTTGGCTAGAGTCTTCCCTTTTCTTATTTCTCTTGCATTATTTGCTAATCTCTGTTTATTTGCCTCAATGTTTTGCTTGAAGCAACAAAAACAGCCCATCACACCACCAATTTTTTCAATATATTTCTCATAGTATATTGGATAACAAGGAAAGTTGGTGTTGATTTCATATCTAGTAGACAAAAGGCGATATAATTTTAAATTTTTATCATTTTAGTGCATGTTTCATTCATCTATTTTTTAGCCCTATTGTTCTAATGATTTGTTTATCTAGTTTTGTAGGGATTAATTGAGGCTCTAAGCATTGTTGTACCAACAGGAGAGGTTAGATTCTCTTGTAGGCATAAATATGCCAATTTCAAGCAAAGATATGATAAGAAAAGCATTCGAGGATGATACGTGGAAAGCATGTAGGGTAGTAACAATATTGGAGTTTGATGAGGCAATGATGGTCATGAAAAATATGCATGAGGGAGCATATAGCTACCTCATGCCTGAAAATCTAGCTCAGTGGAATGCATTCAGATATCGAATCAAATCAGATTGATTGTTGACTAACATGTGTGAGACTGATGATTTTTGCTGCATAGAGACAACCCACTACTCACACCCATGGAGATCATTATTAGACTACTTATGAAGAGGTTGGTATTGAAGCAACAATGCAATATTGCTGAGATACAGTGGATGCTAGCCCCTACGGCTGAGAAGAGGATTGAAGCTCTCAAGCAACAAGCTAGAGAGATCACAAACCATGTTGCAACAACCTATAAGCCACATCTGTAAGAATTGAGGAAATTAAAGATTGATACAGAAAATGTAAGCAAACAAAAAGCAAAAAAGATATCAACTGCAACAAAGAAGATTACCTATAATGCATCAAAGAAATATTGTCATCCAAGTTTACTGCATTAGCTTCATTTTGACAGCTAGCCCCTACTTCAGTGTTCAAGTTTTTCATTTCTCACAAAAGCTTCGATACTTGCGACCACAGAGACTGAAAATTAGGCATCGAGGTTCAAGAATTCATCATAGGCTAGAGGTTTGAGTCGCGAGTCAACCAAAAGGCATTTATTTCGTTGATTTCCTCCAAATATTTCCGAAAACAAAAGAACCCAAATCAATTAATCAATAGATTTCCATAACTAAACTAATCATCAATCAAACTATGCGGGGGAAAAACAAGCTGAAATGACAAATGCCTATACTGATTCTTTCCCATTTTCTACCAATTAGAATAGGAAAACAAAAGACATCATATCAGAATCAACAACAAAAAAAAAATTATTAGGAAAATGAAACAAATACCTAAGAGAGGGTTACCTGAGAGAGGGTTACTTGAGAGAGGAAAATGAAACAAATACCTGAGAATAGGAGACGGTGTCGAGAGAGGGAGGAGGGAGGGTTACCTGAGTTGGGGGATCTCGAGATCGAGCTCGTCGGAGTTGGTGAAGAGGCGGATCTGGTTGATGGCCGATTGGAGTTGCAGTTGGAGCTCGTCGGAGAAATCGGACATGGGGGAGCTCCGATTTTGGGGCCTGATGGAGGAGGGATTGGGGCTTTTTTGGGGGAGAGAGAGAGAGAGAGAGAAACAAGTGGTCACGAGAACAGTGCATTAATCGCTGCTGTTGCTTTGTTTTTTTGCAAAAAAACCCAAAGGTTATACAATGCGTACGAAGCAGTGCGCACTCGAAATGCACTGTATATATATATATATATATATCACTATANAGAGAGAGAGAGAGAGTTGGTACTAGAGTTTAACAAAAACTCCAAAGCCACGCAGTTTCTGTGATCTTCTAACTTCCCTACCTGCCCTCCTTCCTTACAGAACTTTTTTTTTTTTTTGATATATTTAATTTCTTACTACGTACGTACATTTTGATCATAAAAACCTTCAACCTCTATGTCAATAATGGCTCAAGAAACGCTGAATTGTGCCCCTTCACACAAGCCGACAGCTCTTGAACTACATGCGAACATGCGCAAACTGGCAGCAGGCAAGCAGCGGCAGCCGCCGCCCCTGCACACCGAACCAAAGCATGTGGTTCTATGGACTGCAGCTGCCGTTAACGTTGGGCCAAAACTTCACTGCTGCTGCATATTCTGCTTCTCAACAGTATCCCACACTAGAAGATCACAAGTCGGCTGTGACGGTATCCCAAAATACTTTACCAAATATCTCAGCAACTGGAGATGCCGTGAAGAAGAGAAGGGTTGATGCCAAGGTACGTACATAAAATTTAATAATTGTACAAGTCTAGTGTTAGTTTTTCAGATCGCCTACAGAATTTTATACTGCTTGATGTTAAGCAGAGAGACAGTAGTGATGAGAATAAGAAGAAGAAGATTGACGCAGATGTGCTCGAGATGCCTGAACTGGAATCAAACAGCAATCAGAAGAAGGAAGCATCTGAATCAGGGGCACCAAAGAGTACTGATTTCATACACGTCAGAGCTCGGAGAGGACAGGCTACGGATAGTCATAGCTTGGCCGAGAGGGTGGGACCGTGTTTTTATTTTCGGCTAAATTATTTGAAACTGCATGATTTTTCGTTGGATTATAAATATGTGAGAAATTTTGTTTTGATTAATTGGATCAGGTGAGGAGGGAAAAGATCAGTGAGAGAATGAAGTATTTACAAGACCTGGTGCCTGGATGCAGTAACACCACGGGCAAAGCCAGTGTTCTTGATGAGATCATTAATTACGTACAGTCCCTTCAGAAACAAGTCGAGGTAAATTTGCCAGTTTTCATAGAGTTTAGCTGAAAGAACTGTAAATTTCTCATCTTAAGACACTGATGCTCATGGTGGTGGTCGTTTTTTTTTTTTTTACAGTTTTTGTCCATGAAACTTGCTGCTGTCAGCCCTCCGATCGAGTGCAACATGCAGAGCTTCATGGGGAGAGAGGTAGTTATCAAGTCGTCTTGTAGCACAAGCATCTCAAAAGAAATGTCCGTGGAACTACTAAATTCATCGTATCCCTTGGTCA